ACTCCCTCTATCAATGAAGGTTAGCGCCTTCTCTGTAATATATAATCCTGAAGAGCTACCAACAACTCTGAGAGGTTGTGACTTGTACAGGTTCACACAACGAGTCTAGAAGTCATACTTGAACCCAGGTCTTCCAGACTTCAGGGTCACCTCTCTATCCACTATGCCATCAATAAGTTGATCAATTAATCAACAGATATTTAAATGCCTACCATGTGTCTACCCCTGTAATAGGCCCTGGAATACAAGTATAAATAATTAAATAATTCGTATTTGCCTTGAGCTTATATTCTAATTGGAGAGGGCAAAATATATAGGGGTGATATACAAAATATGCAAAATATGTAAGTATATAAAGTGAATACAAATGAATATATTCAAAATTGTTCAATGCAAGGTGGTATGAAAGGGACAGCATTATCATTTGGGGGAATCAGGAAAGGCTTCATGTAGAAGATGGTGTTCAGCTACATCTTTATGAGGCTAAGGTGAGGTAGGGCATTCTAAGCACAGAAAACAGACAGTACAAAGGCATGGAAATGGGAAATAGAGTATCATATATGAGGAACTGAGAGACAACCAGTGTGGCTAGATTGTGAATGAAGAAAGAAGAATAATGTCCAAAGGGTTTGAATAGATATGTTAAGATCAGATTGTATAGAACTTTACACTAGATGAAGGAGTTTGTATTTTTTTTCCTATGTAATTGTAAACCATTGGTTGAATAAGAAAATCACATGAACAGACCTGCCCTTAATGAAAATAGCTTTGGTAGTAGCATATGGGATGGACTAGAGAGGGGATGAACTTGAGGCAGACAGACCAATTAGGAGATTGTTACAATCACTTATGCTGGCTATTATCCAAACCACTAATGTTAAAGTTCTCGTCTGTTAATTGAATCATCAGGATCAATGGATTCCACCCCAAGAGATCCAATTCCATGGCTCATGACGACATATTAGTACCTGTGGATTCTTAGAGGCTATGCCAGCAGCTCTCAAAAACCATACTGGGCTAATAAAGTTTTGTGCAGGGACCCAGAGGGTTACATTATGTTTCTTTTGAGGACCAGGTTGACCATGTATATATGTGCTCACCTTCAGGAGGCCGGCTATTGGATGATTAATTCTTTGGCCATGAGACCAAGAAAAAACATATGGAAACTTCTGCACTGATAATGCCCAAATTGGAAAAAAAGAAAACATGGAATGCTAAGAGTCGTGCAATTTTAGACAATCTACAAACATTAATTTAGTCACTGGTATTCTAAATGTGAAATTCTTGTTCAGTGACCAATGAATTGACATAATATTGGAGGAATTGAGTCATACCAATTTTGATTTTCTCACTATAAACATAATGAGCAGATATGAGGAAGCTATAGTGAAGTGGAAGGGTGAGTGATAGGTTCTCCATGGAGAGGCAGATTAAGAAATTGATGAGATTAGCTTCATCACATACCCTAAGGCCTCCAAGATTAGCTATGAAGTCATATGTTTGATATTCATAGCCCTTGATAATCTGGCCCCTTCCTACCTTTTCAGTCTTCTAACACCTTATTCTCCTTCATGAACTCTGTGATCCTGTGCCTCTAGACTCCTTGCTCCATCTCCCAACTCTATGTATATGCACTGGCTGACCCTCCCCCGACCCATGCCTGTGACTCTGTCCCTCCTCATTTCTGCCTCTGCTTCCTGGCTTCCCTGGTTTTCTTCAAGTCTTAGCTAAAATCCCTCCTTCTTCGAGCAGCTTTTTCCAACCTCCCTTCATGATAGTACCTTCCTCTGAGATTATCTCCAGTTTATCCTATGCAGATCCATTTTATACAGAGCTATTTTCTCTCCCCGCCCACATTAGTTTGCAGGTGCTTTGAGGGCAGAATCTGTTCTGAAAATCTTTTTTTATACCCAGCATTTAGTATACTGCCTGGAAGATAATAGGTGCATACTAAATGCTTGTTGACTTGACTAAAGTAATGCGAAACATCATTCCATGAAAGTGCTTGGGATGAGCATGAGCATAAAGATAAGTATAACGATAATTACAATGTTTGAGGATTTCCCAAACTAATTTGAACTTGGTTACTACTTTGCAGAATTGGGCACTGGAAAAGAAAAAAAAAGTATATTGGAAAATATCTTCCAGGTATAAGAAATGAAAGATTCCAAAGGCTTATTGACAAAATTGAATATTCACATCATTATAACATTATAATGTGAATATTTTCTTCAATAAGACTCATAAGATTCCAGGCATTGCAAGAACCAAGCATCATTACTTAAAAAATGAAATTGATTATATCTTAAGGGACATGAAATAACTAATTATGGATGTGGAAATCATTTCTAAAATAGCTCATTGACTTGCTATGGCAGAGGTCAAAATTAACACTAAATTAGGAGAAAAGATAAAGATGAGAAGATGTATCCTGTAATTATAACAGCTCCAACCATTCCTATTCAAAGAAGCAATGATGCTCAAAAGAGTCTAGAAATCATTTCAGCCAGCCCAAAGTAATATTTTAACTCCTAACCAGCCAAAATGAAAAAGTGGCCAAGAGCAGCACTGCTTATAATTCAGTCATTAGCAAAATCTTATGGAGGTGACTGGAACAAATGTGAGAAGTTTCATTTCCTAAAGCATTAAAAAACTGGAAAGAAAAGCATAAATTTTCAAGAAGCATAGCTTGAGAGTCAATTAAACCAGGCTATCCCTAAAATATGTGAAGCTTAAACTGGAAAGGGATAAAAAGCAGAGAGAAAACAGAACAGATACAATAGCATTTATTTAAAAATATTTCCTATCTGTTTTACATAGTTGCACATATATAACCTAATATCAAATTGCTTACCATCTTAGGGAAGGGGAAGGGGATAAAGGGGGGAGAGAAAATTTGGAGCTCAAAAAATTTTTTAAATGAATGTTAAAAATTGTCTTTGCGTGTAATTGGAAAAAAATAAAATATTATTTTAAAGTGAATAAATAGTATTTCCTTATCAGTGGTAGTAGAATTATAACATATGGACTCTAAATGTCATTCCCTGGTGGGCTATATGAGGAAGTAGAGAAAAAGCATTCACAATGAAGGTGAAAATAGGAGGCTAGTCTAGGAAAAAAACCCAACAAAGTCTGAAAGCTGATTTGAACTCAGGTCTCCCTGACTCCCGGCTCAGCACTCTATCCACTTCTGCCACCTACATTCTCCCCTAGTCAGATTAAACAGTTGATCAATCCATAAACATTTACTAAGTACGTACTATTATGTAGCCATGTGCTAGCTATTAGCGAGGCACTGGGCTAACCTCAAAATCACACTTGGATGCATATGTTCAATTCCTCAAAAATGTGAGGAAGGATGCTAATAAAATGGAGAGTAACCAGAGGACAACCATTAGGGTGATCAAGTGTTTCAAGATCCTGCCCTAAGGAGAACAGTTGACAGAACCAGCAATATTTCATCAGAAAAAAAAAAAAGAGCTAACAGTGGGAGGTATGATAGCTATTTCCAAGTCTCTGAAGGATTCTGATGTGGAAGAGAGATCAGATCTGTTCTGCTTCACCCCAGAGATCACAATTAGTGCCTGTGAAAAGAAATCAGAGGCAAGTTTCAGTTTGATGGAAAGAAAAACTTCCTAATGATTACAGCTGCCCAAAATTTCAATGAACTGACTCAGGAGCTTAGGAACGCTGTACAGGCAGATTCTTGATCAGATGCGGATTGGATTAGGTGCCATCTGAGATCTCTTCCAATCCTGAGATACTATGCTTCCGTGATTTTTAAGGAAGCTTTAAGGTCAGTGCCTTTAAGAGGTATTGGCTGAGACTCTCTCTGAAAGCTTTTTAAGAACCTATACCATCATACAAAAGCACACACACACACACACACACACACAACACATACACACACACAAAACACACAAAACTCTTTTAAATTTGAAGAAGAGAAAGTAAGTTATTGTCAATTCATTGTTTAATGTTTATTATATAGCTGGCATGTCATATTTAGGTCAAATTTACTTATATACTGTGAGTATACTAATTTTATTGGACCTAGAGAAAATCTTGAAATTTTGTTTTTGATCATCTTTTCATTATCTCTATTTATGCCATATTATTATACATAACTATAATTGATTTGATATTGTTTATTTGGTCAGAAGTAATCATTAGATTTTGACTGCTCTCTCTTGGTTCTCTTCCTACTCACTAGACCATGACTAGTATGTCAGATGGATTGTCAGGATTGTCCTACAAACTGCAAATAAATGTCAGAAGTCTATTGTGATGAGTAAGACCAAACAATGTCAGAGGGTGGTACTGGCAAAGGTGTAAGGTCAGATAAATCTACTAAAAAATAGATTATATAATTCTTATTGGTTTCATTCTCTAATTCTCACTCTCAGTCACTTCACAAATCTGATCAATTGTAAAATCATGTCAATTCTTTCTGTACATCTCTCACATATATTGTCTTCTCTCTGCTCACAAGACCACTCCCCTCCTTTTAGACCCTCATGACCCTTTGTCTGAACCATTACAATAGCCCTTTCATTGTTCTCCCTCATCAAGTCACACCCCAGTCCAATACATTCTTCCACATAGTTGCCAAAGTGATTTTCCAATTTCAGCAGAAGACTGACTCTTCTTTTCACAAAAATACACTCTTTGCCCAGGGATAGCCTATGCGAAGGCCCCAGAGTGAAAGACGGAATGGTAAGTATGGGAAACAACAAGTAGACCTGTTTAGCCAGAACCCTAGAATGCCCAAAGGAGAAAAAAAGCCATCAAGTTCTTTCTTCTGGCCAAGGTTAAAGTTTCTACCTTACTCAATAATCTCAAAATATCTTGAATATCTTTGATCTACTCAAATTGCTCCCTTTCTCTTGAGTCTTCTTCCCTGAACATTTGCTTATTTATTTAAATAATTTTATTTAAATTTAATAAATAAATAAATAAATTTAAATAATTTTAATAACTCCCTCTTAACTGTCTTTCAGACTACTGAAAGGATGCCCTGGGTTCGTGTTTACTCCTCGTTCAAGAGAAGAACTGCCTCCCAACTTCCCCAAGGAAATTCCTGGAATTTGTCATTTCTTAGATGCTTACATACAAGGAGCAAATCCAAAGGCATGCTTCCCAAAAGAGATATTGAAGACGGCAATGCTAACTTTCTGGGCAAAGCATCAGGCATTGATTAAGTTGTATCTTCACCAGTTTTATCAATATTTGGGGGTTTGAATCCAGTGAGGATATATGAAGCCTTGGAAAGCACTTTAGGATTGCAGATGCCTGAAAGCCAGTATTACTAATTCAGGAGCAAGGTCCCCTAAGACTTGTTATTTCTCTTTTAAATGACAGACTGCATTTACTGAAATAATATTTCAACTCCTCTATTTTAATGTTATGCCCCTTGAGGTATCTTTTCTTTTCTGTGACAAATGATGTTATATAAGTCACTTCAAATCAACCTGTACTAAGAATTCTAGACCCACTGTACATAACATCAGAAAAGTTGAATGTATCATACCAAGAGACAGAGTTGCCTGCAGTACTGCTCCTTGCTTGAGTGCCAGCTGTACTTAAAATGCAGGAGTCACAGTGTTGCTAAGAACAAAGTCACAAGAAGTTGTTGTTCCTATTATAAATTTTTAAAACTCACTGCATGTTGTTATCTAGCCTCTGACACTCATAAGCTGTGTAACTCTGGGCAAATCACTTGATCTCCTAAGGTTGCTGTGAGGTTAAAATGTGATATTTGTAAAGCACTTTGGAAAGCTTAGCATAGTATATAAATGCTAGCTATTGTTATTATTATGTGTTTTTGTTGTGGCTGCCAATATATAGCAAAACAGACCAAGTATTTTTTTCTGTCAAGTCCTCTTAAGAAAATAAGAAAGTATGGGTCACATATTATATAATCACAAGCTAGATTCAAAGTAACACTGAAGTATTATTTTAGTTCATGAAGTTTATTTAAAAAAACATAATTTTTGATAGTAGCGTGTATCATAGCAATAAATATTATTTCCTTTTCATGTATTCTTCATGTTTAAGCATGATAAAAGCTTTCTATAACATACAGACAGATAAGCAAAGTGTCCAGGTGAACATAGAAGATATAAATTTCCATTACTAGGGATTGTATTACTTATTCTAATGTAATACTCTTGATTTGATCACCACAGTTTAAGCAGAAATGAAATAAGGTTGAAGGGTGATAGATACTGGACCTGTGATTTCACTAATATAGGGAATGATCAGATGGGAAGCTCCTTACTAGTAAAGATTGGTATCTTGTGTCCAACTTACATTCTTAGAGAGTTTCCCAGAATGCTAGGTTAAGCAAATGATCCAGAGTTACATAGCTAGTACATGTCAGAGACCTAACTTGAACCCAGGTCTTTCTGAGTCTAATACCAGCTCTATCTACTATACCATCTATTATACCATACTGCCTCTTGGGGTTAAAGAGAGAACCCCAAAAAAAAGGGAACTCACTATGCAGTTGTACATGAGAGCACTGCAACTTGGTCCTGAATCAGTAGAAACTGTCTATTGGCTTTTTAAACCAATAGGAGTACTTCTAGGGAAAGGCTAAGCTACATGAGTAAGAGATGTAAGATTTGTATCTTTTAATTGTTTTTTTTTAATTAAAGAGAACACATAGACCATTTTATGGATATGTACATGTATTCCAAAAAGGATTATAAACCTGCTATACTCTTCAGTGCTTGGTAGATAGTAGCAAAGAAAGTGATCTGTTGTGTAAATGTCTTAGCTTTTTAGGGGTAGCAGGGTTCTTTGAGTCCAATTTCTTCATTCTACTAAATTCTTAACAAAAGGAAGTTTTTCCAAAATTACTTAGGCCACAAGAAGCAGAGCTAAGACTTGGACGTAGGTCTACTTGACTCCTCATCCATCGTGTTGTGTGCTGACATCTGGATTCCACACTTTGATTTTTGCTTTCAGTATTGGTGCTTCAAGTACTCATCCTTATAACTACTTGGAAAATGTGGTTGTATGAGCATCATTTTTAAAAGAACAATGCCCAAGCAAGAGCATGATGCAAAGAAAAAGTTTTAAGTTACATATATATATATATATATATATATATATAATATATATATATATATATATATATGTATGTATGTATGTATGTATGTATATATACACAAGTGGCAAATGTTTAACAGAAGATCCTAAACTGTATTGGATCCAGGCAAAATGGTTCCATGTGCAAGTTTTTAAATACTTTCATTGTTTGTCACCTGTTCCATGCTAACAGTGTGATGAAAAATTTACTCTTGGTTGGCCTGGTTTATCCTCAGTGTACCATTAAGTACTTTACTACAACTTACTCTTCTAGGTCATAAACAGTACCTCCTAGGTATCTAGCCTCTTACCAGGAAGTCATTTTGGCACTAGAGGGGACATGGGCTTCATTCTGTTACAGTCTTAAAATAATATTAATATTCTATATAGACTGTAGTTTAAGTGAAGGATTGAAGATCCTTTTCTTTCTAGAGCTGAGCCCTTATTATAAAGGAGGAAAGAGAAACAGAAAAGAAATACATAAAAAAAAATGTTCTCATTCCCACAAAAATATCTTACTTCCAATCCACACTTAAATCCCATGTACTTATATTCTTCATTATTCTGGAAAGATTGAAGTCTTTTCTGGAGTGAGAAGAGTGCTAAGTAGAATTCTAAATAAGGAAGGCTGAAAAAAAAAAAAAAACAGCCCATGATCTTGAGGAGCTCACAGCCTAATGAGGAAGACGATATGCAAGCAACCATGTACAAACAAGACAAAGACAGGACTAAATTGAGCATGATCTCAGAAGGAAGCCAATAAGATTCAGGAGGCATGGCTAAAAGCTTCTTGCAGAAGATGAGACTTGTAGGAAGCCAGGGAAGCTAGCACTTTAAAATTAGCTATATGCTGTCCTCACAATCACGTAATGAAGCTAGTTATTCCAAGATTGTTATTCCCCTTTAACAGCTGAGCAAGCTGAGGCTAGGAGAGGTTGTGAGTTGTCCAGGTTCACACAGTAAATGTTGAAGCCAGGATTCAAATCTAAGTCCCAAATCTATATCCAGGGCACACCACACTACATCTCTAACATTAATGTTAGAGGGACTATCTCCCTGGTGTGCTCATCAGCATTTGTTGATGGGATCCTGAGTTTTCCATTAAAGACATGGTATTAGAAGTGTGCTTTCTTGGTATTTTTCCATCCTTGCAGAAGTATTCTTTCAAAAATCAGGAAAAAAAGCAAAATTTTACTCAGGTTTAAAATAGAAAGAAATCTGACATAAACATGACCAGAGAAGACTCCTTTCTGTAGAGAAAACTCTTATGTTCCAGAGAAAGAGTTCCCAAATAGAAACCAAGATGTACAATTTCTTTATTACACAATAAAGAATTCTGAATAAAGGGGCATTGATTTCATTAAGAATAGCTATGGAAACCAAAGTATGTAATTCCCATTCTATTTGGAGATAATTTTTACTCAAGAAAAATAATATTGCACTTTGTGACTTCTAGCTAGCAAGAAAGGAAAGTTCATGTCCCCAAAAGCTATGAGAAATATGGCATCTGGCATAAAACCTATTAGTGTGTCTTTGTTCAAATCAACTTCATTTTAAACACATTATAATTTTTATGTAAGTGCATGTTTTTTTCTCTTCATACTTCATCAGTTAGTGAGTTAAATTCAGAGTTTCTGGCTGAGGGTTGGGACTAAGGCTCTGCTGTCATTAGACATTTTAAGTTGTATTTGATATATATGCAACATAACTAAGTGACAAAAATAGATATTCCATGCAATCTGATATTTATTTAGAAGGAAATGGCTTTAAACCTACCTGTTTTGAGGAGAATCTTGACAATAGCTATCTGAAGAAATGAACTGAGATAGATCCAATTTATTAGTTGTTTTGTTTGGGTTGGGTTTTGATCTAGACCTGTGATTTCATTGTCATTATACACTCTTTAAATCTGTAGTTTCCTAGTTTTTATTTTTTTGTTTGTTTGTTTATATTTTGGGCTAGGCAATGAGACTTGCCCAGGGTCACACATCTAGTAAGTGTCAAGTATCTGAAGCTGGATTTGAGCTGAGGTCCTCCTGACTCCAGGGTCCATGCTCTATCCACTGTGCCACCTAGCTGCCCCCCTTAGTTTTGATTTTTGAGGCAGAAAGCCTTTTTTTGTAAAGTAATTCATGGAGATTCATATGCCAAGACTAGGGTTTTTATTTACAGCAAATACTTCCCTCTTCCCTATCCTATCTGGTTGATGTTTGTTACTGCAGATGGTATATTTCTTTTGATTTAATAGCTTTTCTAAACTTCAATTAGTTGAAAAAGGAAAACAAATGTTAGACTTTATGTTGAAAAATTGCATGATGTTTATCATAATGATACATCAATAGGTAAAAAGGATTTACTTTCACTATTACCTTTAGCAAATTGTTTATACCTGATTTTTGCTTCTGGCAAGCTACAAAGTCTAACAAAATGCTACCCAAGATTTTTGGGAGCTTCCTTGGTATGCTGCCATATAAACATTGTAATGGAACTATTTAAAACATAATTAAAAAATATATATATATATATATATAAAAGAAAATGAGTCTTTTTGTTGCAAAAGGAACATCTGATTCATATAAAAAGAATATTATTCCAAATTATGCAATTGTGTCAGTCCTTCCCTCTTCTGGACCATTTCTTTAAGATAGTAATGGAGAAGATTGTCATTTAGAAGAGCACTCAGCACAGATCTGGTACATTTAATAAATACTTGTTGACTTGGCTTTGGACCATGGGTAATTTTACCCATGCCTGGCATATCTAATTGCATATAATGTAACTAATATTATTGTCTCCTTTGTGTTATGTAATAGAGGGAACATTTTCCCTCTCTACCCCCCAACTTAAAAAAGGTATAGGTATCTTCTGATTGCATCTTATTGTCCAGGAGGACTCTTTTAATTGACCATTGAGCTGGAATTCCATGGATATACCAAATCCCTGCAGAGCTCAGAGTCATTTTTCTACTTCAGGGCCAGCAGGAAAAAAGAGGACTGAGGGAGAGATTGCCTCTTTAGTATAGTCACAGATCAGCCAACTAAAAGAGTTCTCATAGGTAGTAAGAAGCAGTCAAAGGATATTTGTGCCTGCTCTGATGTGTGTGTGTGTGTGTGTGTGTGTGTGTGTGTGTGTGTGTGTGTTGGGAGGAATCCATCCTCAAGGGAGTGCTATACTACAAAGGGGGTACTAAAGAAGTAACAGCTTCTCTTCAGACAAGTCATACAGCTTTCAAGAATCCAGGGTCACATCTACTGCATATTACAATATCAGGATGATACTTTGTGAAAGGGTTATTCTTACCTGTCTTACAAATATAAAATAAGAATACCTCCATTAAGCAATTATCCTATAGAAAATGTACTTATGCTAAAGATAAGTGAATTTCATTGAATTCCACAAATAATTATGAAAGACAAAAATAAATGTCCCTTTGCTTATGAAGCTTAATGATTCATTTTATACAAAGAATCCTTTACTTTGTAGAATGATCTCAATAGGATTCTTTAGATAGTGATTTTGCTATCACATCTAAAATATGATTTACTGGCCAGTGAATGTTTCTTGAGTAGTAGTGTGATATAATGGAAAACAAAATTGGTTCATACTCAGGAAACCCAGATTC